ATCAAGAGATATGAATTTCCAAAGTTTTTCCAAAACAGAATTTTTTCTGTATAAAGACTGCTACGGGTTTGAGCATTTTCGCCCGAAAATCTGACCGATTCAATTATTTTCTTCGAAACAAACACATACTCATTCATACCAAACATATATTAGTGATTTAGAACCATCAAACGTGAAATCTACGACTTTCGATTTCAATCCGAATCTTAAATCCTCAAATCTCCAAAAATGCAAAAACTTACAAAAATCCATCAAATTCGATAAAACAAGCATACTCGATCACGGCCTAACATTACCCGGCACAACGGCGTAATCTATTCCAACTTTCGTCCGTAAAAACATTGATTCTGTAAAAAGCTGCGATTTCGAAATTTGACGCACGACAACAATTTCACACTCAGAAGGTCATTCAACACATCTTCAACTCTTGGAATATCTAGAGGTTTAATTATACTAATATTGCATTCCATATCTTACTTTCTTTACTAATCATTCAGAGTCACTATCCACCTTTTATATACTCAACCTCACACTCTGTCGCCTTAGCACACACGCCAGACCCAAGTCTCAATACTACTTAATCAGTTTAATCCATTGACCATCCAAACAGACATAAAATACGGAGCTCTCACTCTCGGACTAGTTTCCGTATCTAAGTCGGTCACAACTCCACTTCACGTCCTGGTCGTACATCACTTATCTCCTCAGAAAACTTCCAGCCAACCACAGTTAATCGGCAATCGCCAACTTCCCGCTATCATGATAATTCAAACATTCCCATCAAAATTAAACACCTCAGCACCCTCCTGCACCGACTCATCAAAACCATTCTTAAGCACTTAGCTTAACTCAAGACAATTCACTGCTCACGCCATCCAAGCTTGCAAGACACGCATATCCCATCTAACATGACTCTGTCCACTATCAACAAGTGATTAAGGGTGATCAGTTCCTCAATTTGTCAATAGACAGCCGAAAATCATGATAGGGTACAAAACATCTTTACCAAACTATAAGAGCGTTCAACCACACACCGAGCTACAACTCCACACTTGCAGCATCCTGGAGAAGCACAAGCTTCTCCCCCACTTGAATCATTCTCGCTCCTGCAGACAAAGGTTTCACAACAAAACATGTACCGACAGTGTTTTCACACACATGTCGCATACCAGGGAATACACAACAATAAACAACTTGGTCGGACGGACCGACCTGCTCTGATACCACTAATGTAACACCCCAATCTAACCCGGCGGATAATTAAGGAAAACAGAATCAGAGTGCAACAAATTTTGTAAACATGACGGTCGTAAGGGGCTGTCACGACCGTGACGGTCATGACGATCGTAAGGAAGTTATGACGACCGTCACATCAGCAAATTCTGGGCGTTACAATTTCAACTCACAGAAACATACATTTCACAATTCCATTAAACAACATGCATTTAGTAATGATACACAGCACAAAAGCTTGGATGAACATGCAACAATAACTTGATTAACATTTTGATTACAAGGCATCTTATTAATTTACAGCGGAATATAAAACGTTTCCAACATTTAGCATGATTAAAACAAGACCATGAAACTTGTAACAAAACTTCATTAAAATTCAGCAAGTAATTATCTTGCATCAATTCAACATAAACAACGAGTTTCAACCATAAAAATCAGCACTACTAATTCCTCGGTATAGTGCATCCAACCAACATTTGGCACTTAACAGCAACCACCAATTTAATGAAAAATATTTGATAAAATTCAGCAACAAGGAAATTAAAAAAAGCAATAACATCAATCGTTCATCCCCCCAAGAGTGCTACGTATCAGAGCGACCAACAACTTTAAACAAAAAATTACACTTTATTCCGGATTACCTGCAAGTTACCACCAATGGAGGTAACATACAACGTAAAGGGTGAGATATCAACAATATAACATAAGGCATGATAAAAGTCATGTCAGAATATTATCACAGCATTATAATTCTAGCAGTTCGCTAAATATTAGTAATAATAACTACAACCACTCTTTATTCATAACCACACCAATTATCATCATATCTCAGCAACTCATCAAAACAACTCAACAACGCAACTCAACAATGCGACTCAACAATGCAACTCAACTGTGCATATGCATGTGGTACCATTGGGGGCCAACACCCCAAAACTCGGGATAGGAGCCAACACTCCAAAACCCATTTAGGAGCCAACACTCCAAAACTCGGGACAGGAGCCAACACTCCAAAACCCATTTAGGAGCCAACACTCCAAAATAATTCGGGAGACAACACTCCACAATAATTCGAGAGACAACACTTCACAATCATTTTATTTTGTCATTAAAGACACAACCGTCGCCAATCCAGGCCAAATGATATGCTATGAGATGCAACTATTATGGACTATAACACAACAACAACAACTGTGCAACAACCGTGCAACAAGGCATCACGCCTACAACCAATTATCCATAACAGAAACATCGCATTTCGCATACATCATGTACTCACCACTTCAACCTGTTCATATCAGAGAACTACCAACAGTATTGTTCCTACGAATAAGACTCTAACACATTTTCGCAGAGAACAATTAAAAACAACCTCGTCTCTACAATTGAGAACTCAACAACATTTTCATGTCAGAGAACAACTGACAACATCATTACTACAATAAGAACTCAACACATTTTCATATACGTTCATACGGGTAATATAACTACAACTTATCCACATAATCCAAGGAGAATATTATAATAACATTTTCTCAATAGTGACATAACAACTTCATATGCATCAAGTATTCATCATTTCAATCTGTTCATGTAGGGGAACAATAACAACATGCTTTCGACAATTAAGAATTCAGCACATTATCGTAAGAACAACATTATAACTTTTACTCACTAAATTAATTATAGTTCCTGAAAAGGTTCGTTAACTACGGGGCAACTAATCTTGCCTCATTAAGGGCAACCATACAACATCGTACAACACTGACAATATAACACATTCATTCCTACACCGAAAAACCTCGTCCCTAACATTTATCGGGTAACGGGAACTATATCTATGATTCGATTCCCTACCTGAAGTCGATCAAGTAAGAGCATAACAACAACCTTTTCTCAACAAATGGGAAATTAGCGCGTGTCGGCGCCGATTCCCAACATTACTACATAAACTAATGACATAAACACTAATGCAGGCGTAGACAAACATTAACCCTTAATATCTCTCAACCTATGAGAACATTTACCCTTAATATTGCCCAACCTACGAGAACATTACTACAGGAATATTACTACGGAAACATTACTACGGGAATAGTTTCACCGGAATATTACTACGGGAACATTACTACGGGAACATTCCCACGGGAATACTACTACGGGAACATTACTACGGGAACATTAATCCTTAATATTTCTTCAACTTACGGGAACATTAATCTTATGATTCAATTCCTTACATGAAATCGATCATACCCACAGTTATAGAATTGAACCCCACCCTTACCTTTGGATTGAGGACAACTCTAAACTTCCGGTTCCGGTTTGCTCTGCGGTGACTCTTCTGCAACAACCTTCAATTCTCTCCGGCGGTTAACTCTTCTGTTCTTCCTTTCTCCACAGCCACGTCCTTTTTCCTCTTTTCTCAGCCTTTTTCCTCCAATTTAGTTTTCTGAGCAGTTTATCGTTCTTTTGCTCTTTCTCCCACAACTTCTCTAATAACTCCCTAATTCCCTTTATTCTCTCTACTACTACTACTACTACTACTACTACTACTACTACTACTACTACTACTACTACTAATAATAATAATAATAATAATAATATATTACTACTAGTTATTAAATTATCATCATTATTAATCATATTATATTATTATCAAACTCAATGATTTATTAAATGGTTTCCTATACTTCAAGGACACCCACCAACGCTCTCAGACACACTCCCACATAAAGGCACACCAACAATTCATAAAGAATTTAATTAAAATGAACAGGCGTTACACCAAGTGAAAGTTCTCCATATCAAGATGATGCAAATGTTCATTTCCTCATACTTATGTGTAGTAAGTTGAAATTTCCACTCAAATACGACAAAATGTCTTTTCATTTAAAATCAATCAACAAACAATTCAGCTTTTATAAACACAAATTTGCAAGTAATTCCCGTTGAGTACAACATATGTGAGAGGTGCTAATACCTTTGCCTTGCATAACCAACATCCGTATCCAAATCTTTTTTTTTTTTTTTAACTTTTTTCTTTTTCTGGGTTTTGTTCGACCTCTTTTCTTTTCTCTTTTGAAACAATAAATTTCGATGACGACTCTTATTTTTCGAGCTAAGCTAATCAATAGCTTAATCTCAATGATTTTTCTCGCTGCGACACCAACATATAAGACACCTTTTAGAATTGTCTATGTTGAATGAGTAAAAAGTGTGTCCGAAGATATATCTCCAAAATCTGAAAGCATTAATGAAATTTTGCACTATGGATAGAAACCGGTGAAAAAAGAAATTATCTTTGTTATTTCCTCCGTCTCATAAAAAATGTCATATTTGAGCAATACATGATTTTTAATAAAATGATTAGATGTGTTGGTTTTAGTGAAAAAAATTAATGTCATTTATTAAGATATTGCTATTAAATATAATGAATAAAGTTAAAGCTAATGAATATGAATAAATACTAGAAAGATAATAATAAATGCTATATTGATAATGTAACCGGATAATTATTTAGAAAAATGTAAATAAAACACTTTTTTGGGAAGGAGATGCGAATATACAAATATGTGATATACAAAATATAATGTTGGCAGGTTAAATTATCACACCTAAACCACACTCATTCTGCTACTAAACCATAAACCTCCGCAATTCAAATTCAACATTCCATTCACAATGCTTTTTCCTTCACTTTCTCAACAACAACCAACCCGTTTTTGATTTTTCCCCCATTCAATCTGGATAACTCTTCTGTCATGAACGGTTTGTTGTCACAGCTTTCATCATTTACAGCCACCATACTCGGAAGAACCACTCGATTCGTCTCAAAGAACAGAACTCCTTCAAATTTCTCGTTCCCGATAAAATTACTCCATTCTTGTGTTAGGTCCGAATTCACGTTGACAGGGTCTCGCTGCTATTCCACTAGAAAATCACGCAAAAGTGGTTCTTCTCAGTTGCAGAAAGTAGAGGCGGAAACGACGATGGATCAGGAAAAGGATGCTTTTTATGTTGTCCGGAAAGGGGATGTTGTTGGAATTTATAGTAGTCTCAGTGATTCTCAAGCTCAAGTTGGATCTTCGGTAATTTTCTTACGAATTTCGTTTTTGTTGTTTAAATGTTGGTGCTTTTTAGTTTTCACTGTTTTAAAGTTTTTATTTTTATGGGTAACTAAGTTGAAGGTGAATAGAAAAGTGTTTAGTTGAAAATGTAGATAGTGGTATGTATGAGTGGGTGAGAGGGGTAGCTCACTGACTTGGAACGGTTGAGTTTAGGGTTAAAAGGAGTTGGTGGAACAGGGTTCAAGTCCTGACAAGGGTGTGATATCTATGTAGCACCGACACCTTTGAAAAAGTGGCTCGTATCAGTGTTCAAAACCACCCTGACATTTGTGATTACATTTATTACCTCTGTCGTCTTGTCTATGTCGGTATCGTCTTGCCGGGGTTCGTGTTTCATAGGTGAATATATACTAACAACTGACCACTAACAATTTTCCATTAAAAAAGGATAGTGGTATGAGTAATTTGCATTATTCTTAGAGCTTGTGTTCTTTTGACACAGTGAGACAATACATGGTTAATGGATGTAGCAAGCTTTAGAAATTTATCAACCATTCACTAAACAAAATAATCCCGAGTTTCAGGTGTATGTTTGAACACAATTGTGATCAATTGATATCATGTATCACGTATGTTTGAACATCTGAGAAACATGTATACGTGGACACAATTTGGATGGTCAGTGTATATTTGAACACCTATAAATTACATTCGGTGGATGATTGATGAATTGCAACATCTTGTTACAATTGTTAACCATCTATTGAATATAGTTAACCACATATTTCAAGTACGATAACCATCCAAATTATTGTCTAATAAATGTGTTGAAATATCATTTCTTATGCATATGATCTTTGTGGGCTTGACTTTCAGTATTGAAATTGCAATTTTCTTTATATCCAAAACTTAGCTGTTTGATTGGATGTAGTAGTTACACGTGTAGTTATTGATTTGAGATCATTATTATGGTGTTTGTTGTTTCCATTTCCTAGTTTCAAAATCAAAAAGTAATCTTCAAAAGTTCTTAATGACATTTTGATGTTTCTGTTGTGTTAGGTATGTGATCCTCCTGTTAGTGTATTTAAGGGATATTCGTTGTCGAACGAAACAGAGGAATATCTTATCTCGCATGGACTAAAGAATGCTTTATACACAATTAGAGCCTCTGATTTGAAAGAGGATTTGTTTGGATCACTTGTTCCATGTCCTTTTCAGGTAAACAGCAGGTTCAACGTGTTTGCTTTGCCTTAATAATCTTCTCTAGAAAAATAGGATTGGAAAAGGTTATCTGTGAGTTGAAGAGTGGCGATGTTCAATTTGATATTATTGCAAAACAAAATGTATAGAATCCTTTACAACGTTCAATACATTTTCAATTATCAATCTCCAAGCGCTAGGTTCAATTCCATAATTACAATTTTTTAAAACCTATTTTGTCATTACATCATAAATAAAACCAGTTAGTAGATAATGGTATTTTTTTGTTAAATTTTTTTTTTAAAGATAGTATTCTTATAGCTGACACATTTCTGTCCCTTGACATATGCTTTCTCCCTAGACACCTTTAATGTGGTTTTAGGTTTGTTTATGAAGAAAATCAGAAGATTTACTACGTGTTTCAGGATCCTTCTTCTACCAAAGGGACCACATCAAATGCAGATACATCTAAAAAGAGAGCTATAGGAGTGCTCGGACAAGATAATTTGGTAGGTTTAGCACCATTTTGAATTTATAATATGTTTGTTTAGACAACTTTAATGTGGTTTTAGGTTTGTTTATGAAGAAAATCAGAAGATTTACTATGTGTTTCAGGATCCTTCTTCTACCAAAGGGACCACATCAAATGCAGATACATCTAAAAAGAGAGCTATAGGAGTGCTTGGACACGATAATTTGGTAAGTTTAGCACCATTTTGAATTTATAATATGTTTGTTTAGACAACTTTAATGTGGTTTTAGGTTTGTTTATGAAGAAAATCAGAAGATTTACTGTGTTTCAGGATCCTTCTTCTACCAAAGGGACCACATCAAATGCAGATACATCTAAAAAGAGAGCTATAGAAGTGCTCGGACAAGATAATGTGGTAAGCTTATGACCATTTTGAGTCTATAACATGCTTATCAGGAAGGCAAAGATCCAGGATTCTGTATTTGTGTGCTAAGATTTTATGTTCGATAGTTGTGTTATAAATCATCAATTTGTCATCATTTTCATATCCAAAAAATATACTCTTATTTTCAGCTATGAACTTCCATGGAGTTTAATATTAGTCAAGATATGAAAAAATGCTGTTGTTATGGTTTGGAAGAATGTTTCTTGTTTTTACTAATAATTACAAATTACTGCCTAATTATCATTTCACTGTTTCCAGAAACAGCAAAAGAAAAAAAAAAGGTTTACATTGTTTCATATACAAATACCAATATTTGAAAATAGGAAATAAAGTGAAATAAGGTGGTATTTGTAATTATTAATGAAAACTGGAAATGGAAGCATAACCATTTTCTCTAATCCAGTGTTATCAAATTGCCCCGCCATGGGTGCTATGGCAGATATACATGGCAGTTTGGGCATTATCTTTTCTTAATGTGTTGAATCTTCATACCTGGATGCACTATCCAAACGTTTTTTGTGTATAAATGTTTTAACATATAAGTTTCTTAATTGCATAGCAGAAATCAACTGGTTTGACATCCATCTCTGAAGATCCCTTCAGAAAGCAAGTCAAGTTAGATCGTGCTGCCGTGAGCGAAGCATCTTTACTTGCAACTGTAAGCAGAAATCATATTAATGCTCATGTTCATGTATGCAAAATTATGTTTACTCAGGGTTCCCCTATTTCTACAACAATCGCCGATGCTATTATGTAACCATGTATATTTTAATTTGTAACTAACGTGATGGATGAAACAGTACTGCAGAAACAATATACAATGTAACAGTAAACCAAGTTCTAATAATGGCAATGATAATGAGAATGAAGTTCTGTTATGAATAATTTCATCAAACAGTTGGAATGCAGAATTACAACAGATGTGAAAAGAGAGTTTTGAGGGAGAAGAATGACAACTTCACCAATCACATGCCCTAATAATATCCCTCTAGTGTACTATATATAGCTGGCCTCAAGGTTTCACAAAATCCTTCCACATGCTGTGCGGGTTTCTCGTTCTCTCTCCTCTACGTGGTATCATCCCACCACTAAGGACAGCATCATTCTTTTCCTCCACCTTCTGTGGCTTTTTTAACATTTTTGCTGACTCACCTGCTGCTTCTAGAATGCTTCTCTCATTTGGCCTCATTACAATGGACCGATTGCGTTATGTTGTTTTCCTTTTTGACTGAAAAGTCACGTTTTATGAGATCTTCCAATATTGGATGCAATCAGAGTTGGGGCTCCCTGTATTTTACCGTAACATATTGGACGCAATCAGAGCTAGTTACATCATTTCTACTCATTATTTTAATTGCCGACTCTAGAATTATAGGGTGTTCACTGGAGGATCTCTAGTTGCTTTTGTTGATTTGTATCCTTATAGAGTTTGAATGAAATCTTTATGATTTTATATACGTATTCATAGTCATCTATACTTGTGCAGAAGACTTGTATTGTTGAGTTCGACGGTGCGTCAAAAGGAAATCCTGGAAGAGCTGGTGCTGGGGCTATTCTGCGGTCTAAAGATGGGAACGTGGTAAGCATTTGATGTTTCTATGAATATACATATTTTCCATAGAATTATTGATCTCTTTAACTATTATTACTTTAAAGATTCATAGGGTTCGTGAAGGCGTGGGTATAGCAACAAACAATTTTGCTGAATATCGTGCAGCGATATTGGGAATGAAATATGCTCTTAAAAAAGGATTCACTAATATCTGTATACAAGGGGACTCTAAACTAGTGTGCTCGCAGGTTGGCCATTTAGTTTCTTCTTTATGTTCAGTTTATTCTAACATAACTATATGTTTATTATCACGGTATATTTTCATTGTTTCTTTTAGTTTTTGCATCTTATAAATCTTTTCCTTATTTTGGAATTTTGAGAATTTGGGTTGACACTAACTCAACCTCACAAAACCGGCTTGTAAGGTGAGAGCTGCCCAAGTTTTATAAACATTACACATGCCATTTTTCTAAGCAATGTGAGATTAAATCCACCTTTTCACACCCAACACAATGTATTCTAAGCAATGTGAGATTAAATCCACCCTTTCACACCCAAACACAATGTCCATAGACATTGCCTCTTTACCAATGGCCTTATGGGACCTAGCATCCTTTGGAAGCCCTTGATGCCAGGTTTCATTTCCATTGGTAGCATTTGGTAGATGAGTTGGTCAGACAAATGTGTTATTAGTACAATTTAAAATAAAACAAAGCATATTGAAAACGTAGTGTACATTGGTTTTTATTAATAGTGGAAATGAGGAAAACATAGTAGAAGAATACTTTGCTCCATTAAATTCCATGTGTAAAACTTTCATCGCGTCCTCGTCCTCACTTTGAGGCACAGGCCAATCTTTCTTCATCCCCTCACTTGGTTTAACACTTTAAACACCTTTTTTAGTTTGTACGACATTGAACACAAATTACACAGTAGTGGAACAAGCAATAATCAGATACTCCGTTCAAATTTATAAGACGTTTTGAGTATTTCATACGAATTAATGAATATAATTAATTTTGTATGAAAAAGAGAAAGAATGTATGATTTTACAATATTGTCTTTCATTAATTAATAGGAAAGAGAAATTAAAAGAATTGGAAGAAAGAAGAATAATAAATAGTAGAGGGTATAGTTGGAAAAAAACATTAATGTTGCATTTTAATTGTACATTGACTTATAATTTGGGATAATTTTTCTTTCCAAAATGACTTATAATTTGGAAAGAATATAGTATTTTATATGTCCCATATCGTGGAAAAGTAATTTAGTGTAAATCGCATTACCTTTGAAAAAGCTTGAAAAAGTCACCTAAGGACGGTAAAATCATCTGATTTCATCTAGCTATTGTTTAGTTTCTAAATTTATTTCTGATGAAGAATAATCCAATAGTGTCTGTCGTTGCAGGATACTCCTCCCTGAAAAACCTGCTGTACTTTTCAAGGGTGTAATCCTCTGATTCAAATATCTCCTAAATATCATACAATAAACCAATGAATCTCAAATGGTTACATAATTACGTTGGAGGCTTATAGATCTAATAAACTCAAACACCCTAATAAGCTGTTCCTGTTCTAAGTTGCAATATCACAATCCAAAATAGAATAAAATCACTAAAGAATTATAACAAATACTTAATTATGTATTAAATGTGCTTTTGTAACTGCTAGATTTATTATTACTATTTTATTTTGTTGTTTCAGTTTAGTCAATTAGTCGTTGCTATACTTTAGGAACAAGCTAGTAGTAGTTGCTATACTTTAAGAGCAAATTAGTTTAATTATTCAATTCCCTAAAATCTTGGTTACGTGGGATAGTTTTCAGTTTTCCTTTCTATTATTTATTGTAAGGCTTCTATTGATCAAAACATATTCCTTTCTTTTAACCAACAGTTTTCTCTACTTCTCTGCCTCTCTATTTGTTATTTTCAGCCATTAAACTAACAAATTGGTATCTAGAGCCTTCTTCTTAGAGGGACCTGTGAGTGAACCCATTAAAAAACCCACCATAATAAACCTTCCTTCAATTCATCAAATAGATGGATTTTGAAACTCCTTACACAAAACTAGCACCGCCTGTGTTTGACGGTGATAATTATCACATCTGGGCAGCAAGAATGGAGGCTTACCTAGAAGCAAATGACCTTTGCGAAGCCGTTGAGGAAGACTATGAAGTTCTTCCTTTACCGAACAATCCAACTATGGCTTAGATAAAACATCACAAGGAGAAGAAAGGAAGAAAATCTAAGGCAAGAGCTACTTTGTTTGCTGCTGTCTCACAAGACATTTTCACCAGAATCATGACGATTAATTCGGCATTTGAGATCTGGAATTTCCTCAAGGAAGAATATGAAGGAGATGAAAGAATCAAGGGAATGCAAGCAATGAATCTGGTTAGAGAATTTGAAATGCAGAAGATGAAGGAGTCTGAAACAATTAACGAGTATGCAAACAGACTTCTTAACATTGCTAACAAGGTGAGGTTGTTAGGTTCTGATTTTTCTGATTCAAGAATAGTTCAGAAAATACTAGTAACTGCTCCTGAAAAATTTGAAGCTTCTATTACTTCATTAGAAAACACTAAGGATCTTTCAAAGATCACATTGGCAGAACTTGTAAGTGCTATGCAGTCCCAAGAGCAGCGAAGGTTGATGAGACAAGATGGTGCAGTCGAAGGTGCTTTACGAGCCAAGCACCATTATGGGGAAACCAGTCGAAGGTGCTTTACGAGCCAAGCACCATTATGGGGAAACCAATAGAAAGAAGCATGTCAAGAAGGACCAGCCATCAAGCAGCGGTAATAGTGCAAACAACCAAAACAATGGTAGGGTTAAAAAGAAAAACTACCCACCTTGTCAGCACTGCGGGAAATTGGGTCACCCACCATACAAATGTTGGAAACGACCAGACGCGAAGTGTAGTACATGCAATCAGCTTGGACATGAAGCTGTAATTTGTAAGAGCAAATTTCAGCAGCAACATGAAGCCAATGCCCAAGTTGTTGAGCAAGATGAAGAAGACTATTTTTTTGCTGCAACATGCTATTCAACAAGGAGCAATTCTGAATGCTGGTTAATTGATAGTGGTTGTACGAACCACATGACATATGACAAGACTCTATTCAAGGATTTGAAGCCCACAAATGTCTCAAAGGTCAGAATAGGGAATGGTGGCTATATTACTGCAAAAGGAAAAGGAACCATTGCAATTTCAACGTGTTCAGGTACCAAAATTATATCCGATGTTCTCTACGTACCTGACATTGACCAAATCTTACTAAGTGTAGGTCAGTTGATTAAAAAGGGATTTAAAGTATCCTTTGAAAATCAACAATGTCTCATCTACGACATTGCTGGCTGGGAAGTTTTACGGGTTAAAATGAGAGGTAAAAGCTTCTCGTTTGATCCAACAGAGGAGGAGCAGGCACCTAAGAAGGTGGAAAGTTATGATGAATCAGGTGATGAATCTGATGAAGATTCATCTGAAGATGAGGCAAAATCTGTTCCTGCTAAAAATGGGAGTGCCCCGGCAAAGAAAGCTGCTAGTTCTTCTGATGAAGAGTCTGATGATGATTCTTCCTCTGATGAAGAAGCACCCAAAGCTAAGGCTGTCCCTGCTGCTGTGAAGCCTGCTGCTGCAAAGAAGCCAGCTAAAAGCTCTGACTCTGATAGCTCAGAGGAGGAGTCTGATTCTGATGATGACAAGGACGCCAAGCCTTCTGTTGCTGTTGTTGCTAAAAAGACGGAAGATGATGATGAAGATAGCAGCGATGAAGAGGACTGCAGCTCTGATGAAGACAATAAAACTTCCAATGCTTCTAATGGAAACAAGAAGGAAGTGACTGTTGCTAAAAAAGAGGAATGTAAATCTGTTAGCACACCAATGAATCAAAAGGAGAAGTTGAGCAAGGATGATGGTGCTGAAAAAATTGATGAAGGATATTATAGAGGCTTGATTGGATGTCTGATGTATCTCACTGCAACAAGGCCGGACATTCTATTTGCGGTAAGTCTCTTGTCTCGTTTTATGCACTGTCCAAGTGAAATTCATTTGCAAGCAGCAAAAAGAATATTGAGATATATCAAAGGCACTATTGATTATGGAGTCAAGTTCGATACGTGTAAAGAATTCAAGTTGTATGGATTCTCTGATAGTGATTGGGCTGGATCCATTGATGATATGAAAAGCACTTCAGGATACTGTTTCAGCCTGGGCTCGGGAGTATTCTCATGGTGCACAAAGAAGCAAGAGACTGTAGCACAATCCACCGCTGAGGCTGAATTTATAGCAGCAACAGCTGCTGTAAATCAAGCTTTATGGTTGAAGAAGATTTTATGTGATTTATCTTTGCAGCAGAAGAACAAAACAGAAATTTTTGTCGACAACCAGGCTGCAATTGCTATTGCAAACAATCCAGTATGTCACGGGAAGACTAAACATTTCAACATCAAGCTCTATTTTTTGAGAGAGATGCAACAAAGTGGAGAAGTAAACTTAATTTACTGCAAGTCTGAAGATCAATTGGCTGACATGTTTACAAAGCCATTATCTATCAGCAAATTTGAATATCTAAGGCAACTGATTGGAGTTTGCAGTTCCTAAAGCAAGGGGGAGTATTAAATGTGCTTTTGTAACGGCTAGATTTATTATTACTATTTTATTTTATTGTTTCAGTTTTAGTCAATTAGTGGTTGCTATACTTTAGGAGCAAGCTAGTAGTAGTTGCTATATTTTAGGAGCAAATTAGTTTAATTATTCAATTTCCTAAAATCTTGGTTACGTGGGATAGTTTTCAGTTTTCCTTTCTATTATTTATTGTAACGCTACTATTGATCAAAACATATTCCTTTCTTTTAACCAACAGTTTTCTCTACTTCTCTGCCTCTCTATTTGTTATTTTCAGCCATTAAACTAACATTATGCAATTAAAAACCTTAACAAATAATAGAGTGAAGTTAATATATTCCAATCTACATTATTTTCATTTCTAGCATTTTGTCACTACTATTTTCTCTTTGTTCTCTTGAATTTTCCAATGCTACTGCATGAAACAGATTGATGGGTCATGGAAGGTCAAGAATGAGAGCTTGTCTACATTGTATAAGGTGGCCAAAGAACTCAAGGATAAATTTGTGTCATTTCAAATCAGTCATGTTCTAAGGGTAGGTACAGTTTACTGCTTTTGGTGTATATGTAAATTTTATTTGGCTTTATATTATATATTTTTTGGGTACCTTAATCGTGCAAATTATCTAAGTTTGAGAAATGTGTGTTTTCGGTAAAACTAAAAAAATTTGAACAGGTGATGCCTTCCGACACTTGGTAGTGTTATGATTTTCCCATTTATATACATAGATGCTTTTACTGCTTCAAAAATAACTCTGTTTCCTTTGTCAAGGAATTCAACTCCGAGGCTGATGCTCAAGCAAATTTGGCCGTCCATCTTGCTGGTGAGGCTTTCGAAATCTTCAATATTTGTCCGGCTTTAATGTGAATACCTTTTCATTTGTATGTACCTATTTAACCTTTCTCCGCTTTTACAGATGGCCAAGTTCAGGAAGAGTAGTAGGTTATTTCACTCACAGCAGTTAATGGTTATGAGTTGGGTTTGTGGCAGAACATCAATTTACAGATTCCTGTTACTGTTAGACTGTTAGTGATGACGTCGGCAGTCCTTATTGATTTAGTATTTAATTCTATTAATAAGTGTCATAACTAATAGGATGATTAGGTTAGTATTTGATTCTGTTTTGCTGGACCTATTTTTAAACAAGTATTCACGTTCTTTAGATTGTTGTAGACGTGACCTGATTTTTAGTTCTTTCTGTTTCAAGCCATGGTTATTTAAGAGTCATAGCTTCACTTGAATTAATAACAGATTTGATTTATAATTAAGTGTGTTCTATACCATTTTATATTAACAATTGGTATCAGAGCTCCGAAAGGGGTCTGATAGTGTGAGTAAACACAAAGAGATCAAGATGTCAACCTCAGAAAAGTTCGTGCAGCCGTCCATTCCCAGGTTTGATGGCCATTATGGTTTCTGGTCAATGACAATGGAGAATTTCCTCAGGAGCAAGGAGATGTGGAACCTGGTGGACGAGGAAATTCCAACACCGGCAATCGGAAACGCAGCAGCAAGTGAGACACAAAGAAAGGGTGTGGAGGAGGCTAAACTCAAAGATTTGAAGGTGAAAAATTTCTTGTTTCAAGCTATTGACTGAGAAATATTGGAAACAATTCTCGACAAGAGAACATCGAAGGCGATTTGGGACTCAATGAAACAAAAGTATCAAGGAGAGAAAGTAGACAACTTCTTGGGGCGGACTTTAACCGTGGTCAACAAAATGAAGACAAATGGTGAGGTGATAAAGCAAAGCACAGTGGTTGGTAAGATACTTAGATCATTGACCTCCAAATTCAACTATGTCGTTTGTTCAATAGAGGAGTCAAATGACTTAAGTGTCTTGAGCATTGATGAATTGCATGAAAGTCTGCTTGTTTATGAACAAAGGATGCATGCACACCAGGAAGAGGAATAAGTGCTGAAAGTGACCTATGACGAGAGATCAGGCAGAGGAAGAGGCAGAAGCATGAATAGAGGAGGACGAGGTAGAGGACGAGGCAGACATGCTTTCAACAAGGCTACAGTTGAATGCTACAAATGTCATAAATTGAGGCACTTCCAATATGAGTGTCCTGATTGGGAGAAAAGGGCCAATTATGTAGAGTTGAATGAGGAGGAGGAACTTCTATTGATGTCCTATGTTGAGAACAACAATTTGAAGAAAGAGGCAATATGGTTTCTTGATTCTGGTTGTTCTAACCATATGACAGGGAACAAGCAATGGTTTGTGGAACTAGATGAGCAATTCAGCCATTCAGTAAAACTTGGAAACAATCTTAGAATGCCAGTGAAAGGGAAGGGCAACATCAGACTTGAAGTAGAAGGTGTAACTCAGGTAATATCAGAAGTTTATTATGTTCCAGAGTTGAAAAACAACTTATTGAGTATTGGCCAGTTGCAAGAGAAACATTTGGCTATCTTGATACAAAATGGAGAATGTCGAGTCTATCATCCCAGAAGGGGGCTAATCATGTACACACATATGACATCTAATAGGATGTTTGTAGTATTGACTAATGTTGTATTACATACATCATCTACATGTCTAAGTGTGAGAAGTAATGATATTGGTGAGTTGTGGCATAAGAGATATGGTCACTTAAGCATCACAAGTCTGGATTTGTTACAGCAAAAGGAACTTGTCCGAGGACTTCCCAAGTTTCAGGTGCCAACTAGTGTGTGTACAAGATGCATGAAAGGGAAACAACATCGGGAGATCATTCCAAAGAAAAGCAAGTGGAGAGCAACACAGAAGTTGCAACTTATACACTCAGACATCTGCAGACCGATCACTCCAGAGTCATACGGCAACAAAAGGTATTTGTTAACCTTTATTGACGACTTTAGCCGAAAACTTTGGGTCTATTTTTTGAATGAGAAGAGTGAAGCTTTCACAACATTCAAAAGCTTTAAAAATGTTGTGGAGAAGGAGTCTGGTCTATCTATTTGTGGATTAAGAACAGATAGAGGAGAGGAGTTCACCTCCAAGGAGTTCACAAAGTTTTGTAGACTTGAAGGCATTAAGAGGCAATTGACTACAACCGATTTGTTACAGCAAAAGGAACTTGTCCGAGGACTTCCCAAGTTTCAGGTGCCAACCAGTGTGTGTACAAGATGCATGAAAGAGAAACAACATCGGGAGATCATTCCAAAGAAAAGCAAGTGGAGAGCAACACAGAAGCTGCAACTTATACACTCAGACATCTGCAGACCGATCACTCCAGAGTCATACGGCAACAAAAGGTATTTGTTAACCTTTATTGACGACTTTAGCCGAAAATTTTGGGTCTATTTTTTGAATGAGAAGAGTGAAGCTTTCACAACATTCAAAAGCTTTAAAAATGTTGTGGAGAAGGAGTCTGGTCTATTTATTTGTGGATTAAGAACAAATAGAGGAGGGGAGTTCACCTCCAAGGAGTTCACAGAGTTTTGTAGACTTGAAGGCATCAAGAGGCAATTGACTACAACCGACACCCCTCAACAAAACGGGGTGGCCGAGCGCAAAAATCATACTATTCTTAACATGGTGCGATGTTTGCTAGAAGAGAAGAAGACGCCTACTTCGTTTTGGCCAAAAGCTGTGAAGTGGACGTGCCACATCCTCAACCGAAGTCCAACCTCTGCCGTAAAGAATAAGACACCAGAAGAATGCTGGAGTGGAATCAAGCCCAATGTTGATCATTTTCGAGTGTTCGGATGCGTAGGAAATGTGCATATACCACATGCAAAGAGGTTGAAGTTGGATGCTAGAAGTCAAAAGTGTGTGATGTTAGGGTATAGTGAAGAGTCCAAAGGATACAAAATGGTCAATCCAATGACAAAGAAGGTGATAATTAGTAGAGATATTGTGTTTGAGGAAGAGGAAAGCTGGGATTGGAGAAGGATAGAAGAAGAAAAAAAGCCAAAAATGACAGTCTTGATTGGGGAGAAGTTGATGAAGACACATATGTCTCTAGTGATGAAGAAAGTAAAGGTGAAAATTCACAAGAAGAAGGAGAATCTGATCACAGTGTCATCTCCAGTGATGCTACAACACCTACACTGCCTGAAAGAAGAGTCACTCGAGCCCCAGCATATCTTCAAGACTATACAAGCGGAGAAGGACTCTCAGAAGAAGAAGAGGTACAAAATTTAGCTTTGTTTATAACCTCTAATGATCCTATTTACTATGAAGAAGCAGTGAAAATAAAAAGATGGAGGGATGCAATGGATGTGGAGATCAGTGCCATGTAAAGAATGAAACTTGGGAGCTTATTGATGCACCAAAAGAAGTCAAAGTAATTGGAGTGAAGTGGGTTTATAAAACCAAGTTGAATGAGAATGGTGAGATAGATAAGTGCAAAGCTCGGCTTGTGGCTAAGGGATATGCGCAAGAGAAGGGAGTAGACTATAATGAAGTCTTTGCTCCAGTTGCTAGATGGGACACAATCCGTACGGTGATAGCCGTGGCAGCAAGAAATGGATGGACACTCTTTCAACTCGATGTCAAAAGTGCCTTTCTTCACGGTGAGCTGAATGAAGATGTTTACATTGCACAACCTCCAGGTTATGTGGTCAATGGGGAAGAGAAGAAAGTCTACAAACTAAAGAAAGCACTCTATGGTCTGAGGCAGACACCGAGAGCGTGGATTAGCAGAATTGAAGGCTACTTTATTAAGGAGGGGTTCGAGAAAAGCGGCTATGAGCACACCTTGTTCATTAAAAGAGAAGAGAAGAACAAGATCCTAATTGTAAGTCTCTATGTTGATGATCTCATTTTTACTAGCAATAATTCAATTATGGTGAATGAGTTCAAAGAGTCTATGAAAAGGGAGTTTGAGATGACTGATCTTGGTAAGATGAAGTATTTCTTGGGAGTTGAAATACGACAGAGCTCTAATGGCATTTACATTGGTCAAAGGAAGTATGCTGAAGAAGTTCTGAAAAGGTTTGGGTTGGAGAGTTGCAATGGAGTTAAGAATCCCATGGTTCCAGGAAGTAATAGACTGACAAAACAAGAAGATGGAAAAAAGGCAGATGCAACATTATTCAAGCAAATGGTGGGAAGCTTGATGTACATGACAATCACAAGACCTGACTTGGCTTATAGTGTGTGTTTGATAAGTCGCTTCATGGCCAATCCAATGGAATCTCATATGATGGCGGCCAAGAGAGTTCTCAGATACATTAGAGCTACTACTGAGTTTGGTGTATTTTACAAAAGGGGATGTGAAGATGAGATGCTAGCCTATACAAACAGTGACTATGCGGGGGACTTGGATGACCGAAAAAGTACTTCAGGTTATGTTTTTATGCTAAGTGGAGGAGCAGTGGCTTGGTCATTAACGAAGCAGCCAGTGGTGACACTTTCAACCACCGAAGTGGAGTACGTGGCAGCCGCTTCTTGTGCATGTCAGTGCATTTGGTTGTAACAGATACTGAAGCAGATTGGAGGTACTCAGAGTAAAAGTGTCAAGGTTCTGTGCGATAACTCTTCTACAATAAAACTTGCAAAAAATCCAGTTTTCCACGGCAGGAGTAAGCACATTGATGTGAGATTCCATTTCTTAAGGAATCTCACAAAGGATGAAGTGATTGATATGAAGCTTTGTGGTACAAGTGAGCAATTAACTGACATTATGACTAAGCCTATGAGGTTGGAGCTGTTTGAAAAATTCAGAGAAGCACTTGGAGTGAAGTCAGCTGAGGAGGTAAACTGAAATGCTGAGGAGGTAAACTGAAATGCTTCTGGCATGTTCAGTTTAGGGGAGCAATTGTTAGACTGTTAGTGATGACGTCAGCAGTCCTTATTGATTTAGTATTTAATTCTATTAATAAGTGTCATAACTGTTAAGAAATGTGGTTGGACCTAACTCAACCCTACAAAACCGGCTGATAGAGTGAGGATTGCTCCCACTTATAAACACATGTTCATGCCATATATTGTCCGATGTGGGACT